ATACACGTATACATTTTTTTAGGTTTATCTTAAATAAAAGTTAAAATATTGCAACAGTACAGTTCTATAGAAAGTCATTATACAAAAACCCAACAGCCGATGCAAATATTAGGATTAACATACAGCAATCAATTTGTTACTATGTATGAGTATTTACCACGTTTTAGGGTGGTGCAGACAGAGGGGTGGTGAGCCTGAGGACTTTGGGACACATGGCTAGTGGGTGCTGTTGTCACAGACTGTGCTGGTTAGGATGTTTATTTCTGCCCCTGACAGAAAAACTTCATCAGCCTACCGTGGGTCAAACCCAGGTCTCTCTCGCATGAGAGCTCCATGTTGTAAACAAATCATATTTTAATCTTATTCATTACAATATAACGCAGGTTGACCCAGCCTAAAACTGATACCAGGTAAAGTCCTGGGACATAAATATGGCTGACAAGATGTTGATCACATCTCACTGAGTGCCAACTGGCCTATACAAAATATAGGTTGTGCACTACATGCCAGATGTGCTAAGGACAAGAAAAGGGTCTTTTACTTACATTTCATCATCATCATCAGGTGCCTTGCCGACTGGCGTGGGCCATCATGCCTCTCCATAATCTGCGATCTCCTGCAGCATGTATCATGGCTGAAAAATGATGACTGTCTCCTTCTGATGTCTGTGATAAGTTGTCTCCGGGCTCCCACCTCTTTCAAAACCTCTAGGTTGCTCTTTTTAGCTGTCCAAGGTATTCTAAGCATTCTTCTGTAAAACCACATTTCTGAGGCCTCAAGAAATTGTTTGGCCTGCCTACCGATTGTCCAGGATTCACAGCCATATGTTGAAACTGGATGTATGAAGCAAGCAAATCTTTTCCTAACTCTCAATGACAAGGATATATTGCACAAGATGTTTTTCATTTTATAAAATGCAGTTTTTGCCTGTTCTACTCTGTTTCTTATCTCAGTTTTGCATCTTCCATCTGATGTTATCCATGTGCCCAGATACTTAAATTTCTGTACTTGTCCTAAAATAACATTAACTTAATCAAAGATAAAGAATCAATTCTAGTGCAAAGGATTGCATTCTTTATGGTGTGGTCAACGCCTGCAGCACAGCTGGCTGCCTCCCAACAGCGTAGCATACAGCACCAATTCTACAGCTCTAACAACTTCTTTGTTACTTCTTCCCTTCCTCTTTTATCAGTTGAGGTTGAGGGAGATTATAGGTTCTGCTTCTTGCTCTCTTACCGCCTCAACCATAAACACATCGATCTGTTGTAGAGTTTCTCTGATGTTATCTTTCCATCTTGTGACTGATCTACATTGTGCTCTACATCCTTCTCCTCTTTTAGTGTATGCCTTGTATAGTATGGCGTCATAATTATTTTTAAAAAAAAAAACATATTTAGGCAAAGCTGCATCCAAATTTCTCCCTTCCAGAAAAACAACAGCATCTTCATCTCCACTTTGTACTATCAGTGCCAATATGGACATGGGTAGATCACACCAACGGGAAAAAAACCACCTGCGATACATGCCGTCTCTGAAAGGTCACCGACAGCACAAGTAGAGACAGGGTCATGAATACTAGCATCAGAGAGAAGGTTCGACAGAGAATGAAGGATTTGGCCATCTTGTAAGAATGCAGCAAGACCAAACTGTATATGAGACCTTCTACAGCAGAAAATCTTGGTGGAAGGTGACACGAAGAATAAGGAACAAATGAAAACAGTGTAGCAAACAGCTGAAAAAAAAAACCATCACTAAAACCCCCCGAGATACAAAACACACCCAAAAAAACCATGACACTGGGCAACAATCCAGTAACAGTGGTGACGACAGAAGAAACACCTGACAGGTCTTCCTCTTCTTCTTAGCCTTCTCCGGCTGTTAACTCCGGTGGAAACTCCTGGTTGTTCATCCACATCTGGACTTCAGTCCTCTTTCAGAACCTGAGCTGTAAATGCCCATACATTTTACAGATCTGTCTTATTTGTACGCAAAATGGTCATTCCTCGCTTCTCAGACAGATGCACTCTGACTCGGAAGAAACACCCCTATTTAGTTACTTATTTTTTTTTAAAAACAAATTTGTGTTAGGGGGCAATAGGTTTACCCCCCCCCCCCCCCCAAAAAAAAAAAAACTTGATGGTGATACGGTCAATATCAAAGCAACCATTTTCCTAAATATTCTTGGCAGTAATTATAGACTGGGTGACCTGGGAGTTCAGATCAATTTGTAAAAATCAGTCTCAATGAGGATTTGAACATAAGGCCACCGGACCAACAGGCAAGCATGCTATAATGAATATATAGCAAGAATACAATGTTAAAATTCTGAGAGGTGAAAAAATACTTCTCACGATGAAGTATATAACAAACTATATTTGAACACCTGAAGTAAATGATGCAAAAATCTGGCAAAAATAACACAGTAAAAAAATTTTGCAAGTAAAAAATGTCATACAATAAACTGAAAATTTAAAAACATGTTCCAAAACAATTATCAATAAAACACTCACATCACTGGTTGTCTCAGAATTAAAGAAACTGCTGATTTTCTGAAGGTAGCAAAACATTCAGAGATGAAAACATAATATGTATTTAAGTGCTGTGGCTTAGAGGTTAGGGAAATGGTTTATATATCCAATACTCGATAGTTACCAGGGTTTGATTCCTGAGGTGGCTGGTTGAGTAAATACTGCTCTCAAGGCGTTCAGACAATGTTATGAGAGACAAACCACAGAAGATACTGAGGCATCACTCCCCACCCTCCTCCATCATCAGTTCTCGTTATGCCACCCCCCCCCCCCCCCAACATCTTATTCTTGACTTACAACCTATGTAACTTACGGCCAGAAAAAACTTTTAAAAATTGCTGAAAAAAAGGACAGAAAGAAAGATAATTGCACTGATAGGGTGAAAAAGCTCCCACACCCGATGTCTAGAGAACATTATGCACAATAATTATATGTACACAGACTGAATTTATGTGTTTTATGACAGCTGTTATAACCTGCTTCAATAAAAATAGTGTTAAAGAATATAAATTTGAATGAGTAGTTCAACTTGCAACATGTTAGTTGCAACAGAACTGGTTCGTAGTTCAAGGAGACCTTGCAATCCCAAAGTCAGCAGTGGATACAGTGCAGCCAACCTCTACTGTGGTGATGGCACATTTTTTAAAAACAACGTTTAAACATCAGAAAAGGAGCAGTAAGAGCAGAGGCCAGAAGCTGATTTCAACTGATATTTTTCATGAGATTTTTCTGGGTTCTAGCCAGCAATGATTGAATTAATTATCTTCTAGTTTTTAACCTCTGGCTCGTGCAATTTTCTGGTAGACGAAAGTTGCAACATTGTTTTGGCATAACACTACTACAAAAGTCTGACAACTTTTTTTTTAGGGGGGGGGGGGGGGGGGTAAAATGGGTCCTACAAAATTCCTCAGTAGGTATTTGTGGGTGGTATTCTTCTGTGTTCACCCTTAAAAGGGCGGTTGTCATATTGTAAAGTGGTTTTACAGCTAGACTGCAATATCTGCACCATTCGGCGCAACATATCCTATTTCAGCAAACACTTGATTAGTTGCTTTTCAAACAAACTTGTTAACTATTCACAATGACTTAACATGTTAAGCCAGGAAATGGAAGGATAAAAGGAATATTTATCTGAGGTAGAACTGGTTAATATAACAAAGATCAGGAGAGGAGATGTTCCAAAATGTAAGTCTTGTATTAGGGTAGTCGAGAAACATATGAAGTCGTTTGGATATAAGGTTTTACTAATGCACATCTCTTTTTACGGATAACTGAAAGAGTTCAAGTGATGCTAACAAGGTTTTGGTGCACTTTTATCTGAAAATGAACAGGTTTGCAGAGAATTCAGTGATGTGGGTGAACACATACAAACTCTGGCTGTTTATCATATGTGACACAATGTTTATGTTATGAATTTAAGTCTAAGAAAATAAAATTTATATCTCTCTTAGGACTTTGGGCCTAAATAGTAACTTCTCAATCAGTCCTATTAGTTCTTAAAAACACGATTACATGCAAGTTCCTCACCATTCTATTTTTTTTTTCAAATCTGTGTCCCATTCATTCATCACATATCATGTGTTTACATTCATCACACATAATTTGTTTAACAAAAAGTACAAAAAAATATAGACAAATTTTATTAAATTCTAGCTTCACTGAGTGACTGACCGTAACTGTTAAAGTGCCGTATCTATCACATGAACACTATATAATTATTCAGGTACTGATATCATCAACATTCATTCATTCATTCAGTAGCATGTCCCTCGCGGAACCTCGCTGCCATAACAACCCTCCGGAAAACCTTCCTATCATGAGCAAGATGTCCTGCGTCTGATACACCCATCTGGAGATCATCTGCCACATCTTTCATGATTGTTTTGGATTCTTGGCAAAATTTGCAGAAGGTAGTTTGCCGTTGCTTTCCTCCTGAGCAGTGACTATACTAGTCGGTGGCCATAGCCATTGTCTCTACTGATGAGATCATCTGCCTATCGCCGCAGAGTGCAGACCATAACCAACAATACCTGTCGGCTGCTCTTACACTCCATCCACCACCTGCTTCCATGGCTTCACGTAATCCTGATTGGGGGCTAAACGGGTACTCCACCTTGCCCAAGGGTGTCCCGTAGACTAGCGGAGGAAAGGAGGCGTCTTACTTCTCCTTTGATAGGGGATACCCCTACCCCGCTAACCACATCAACATATATATGATGATAATTGATATGGTACAGAAAATATTATCCGCTTTAAAAAAGCCTTTACTGTTACTAAAACATGAGGAAACTTGCAGGGTAAGATAAGATTAAGAGTTAATGTACGACCAAACCGATTGGTAACTATTGTGTAGTTGTGTAAGTTTTGTTGTACGTTTTACCGTTAACTTGATAACTTAAGTTAAGTAGCTCTGACTCTGAGCCGTGCCACAAAAATTAAAATTAAACAAACAGTTCAAAAGTAAACACCTACTTGTGTTACGATTCCTCTGTCTTCTTCTTCGTCGTCGCCACTTAGAGCCTTCTTTAGTTTATCCATGCTGTTATACATACACAAATGGCTAGTAATGTAACCTGATAGTTTTGTGATGAACACTGAAATCTAAACACTGTAATCTACTCAAAATGACTCAGATGCACATGAAGAAGTTTGTCAACACCGCAAAATGTCGAATAACCGGATACACTGCTGCGGCGGCCAGTGATTGTACCATACTCGTTATGATACAATATTTTATGATCCAGTAATAAATAGCTGCAGTGGGGAGTGGCTAGAGGCTCGCCTGCGGAAGGTCGTGGGTTCGCTCCCTGGTGAAGCCGGACTTTTTTAAAACATGACCTTGGCTCCCAGGTCGACCCAGCCTTGAGTGGATACCGGATGCAGTCCAGGGAAGTAAAGGCGGCCGACGTGATGCTGACCACATTACCCATCTTGTACAGATTGGTCTAAATAAAATATAGGTCTAGCCCTAAATGTATAGTTTAAAGGCGTGGAAAAGGGTACCTTTACTTACTTGACTTATCAGTTGTAGTAGCAGCAGTAGTGAGTTGGGTTATCATCATTGCACTCCGGATATGTCCTTAGGTGCTCAGATTCTTCACTCTGTATGAACCCCAGCGTCCGGTGGCTAGTAGTACTAGTTATATGTTGATTAACATATCGCCTAGTGTGCGTCTCGTTTTTTGCTATGCTAAACTTTACACCAAGTCTATCATTCCGTCGAGTGCTGTGGATTCACTCCCCCCAAAGACCCCTACCCTTCTCCTTTCTCGGAGGGCATTAATAATATCAGCATGATCCATAGGCTGACCGTCGGTAGTGATAGCGGATCCAGCCAACCTTTAGCTGTTTTATTTCCATTGACGCCTGCGATTCCGGGAACAAAAAATAAAGGTGACTACGCACAGTGGACTTCTGTAATGATTCAAGCAATTGTCTTCGCACTGAACCTGTCTGAACCCTCCGGATCATACTTATTGAATGTTTCGAGCCAGGCGAACGCTTACGTTACTGTCATCACCTCCATCGTCATGCTGCTGGTTGTCATGGAGAAGGCGCCGTTGGCTTCTTTGACTGTTTTGTCTGCTGAGCCTGCTGGGAACGCCCATGCGCTTCTTTGTTGGCGTATAACATATTTGTCAGTGTAGATCAGTACATCTGCCTCATCTAAATTTTCACTGATGAGAGAGAGAGAGAGAGAGAGAGAGAGAGAGAGAGAGAGAGAGCGTTGACCTCTGCATTAACAGCAACAGGGTTCTGCTCTCTGAATCGTCCGTCTGTTGAGTGTAGCAATACAGGGAAATGTACAAATAAATTCACGAGGCACGGGTGTCCACTCTGCACCAGGGGTAATGTCCATCAGGCTGGCATATTTGTTTCATAAAATCTCTTGCCACGATTTTCCCCTTTTCAGCCTGTCACTCTTTTCATTGAAAAGCAGCAGCAGTAGTAGTATGCGAACCGTCAGTCCCATAGAGAAGTGTCGCAGGTTTGGGATCAGCGACTACAATGACTGTAAATCTCTATGTGGGGGTGACAGTTTGCGCCAGATGTGACTACATAAAAACGTGGAAGGCAGACCAACTGGACTTAAGGGTTTGACATCGTGAGACTAAAGAATTTCAGTGCTGTTGGCACACCAATGTGGCAAACCCAGATACCTGGTTCAACCTCCCAGAAGGTTAAAGTTAATGCACCGGCAAAAGTCACACGTCCGTGTAACCTGCATTCAGTAAGGACTGGATACAGAACCTGATTAGCCATTAAGCACATGCTTAGAGCATCACAGAGGGAGGGGCACCACATACATTTTCTAAAGTCTTGGAGGTCAGCGTTTATTTTCTCGGTTAACCTATATTTAAAAATCATAAATAAAAAAGAATGCAACAAAGCAGACTGGATGGCTTATCTCTTTTAAGTATAGAAGCCGATGTATTGCAAAAGATTAGTTTGAAGACCAGATCAAAGACTTTGAATTCAAAAAGTAGGAGACAATTTCAAATATTATTAAAGTGAAAGTATACAAAAAAATAGACATGATTTTCCATCTTACTGTAAATTTTTTTTATTTTCGCTAAATTGAATTGTATTGTATTGTTTATTATTGTCTATATTTTGAATTAAGTATATAAGAGCCGTAAATGCCTCCTCTCTCCAACACTGTTTAACATCTTTTTAGAAAGAATTATGACTGATGTCCTAGAAAAACATCATGGGACAGTTAGTATCTCAGGTCGAACTGTAACAAACTTAAGGTTTGCAGATAACATCAATGGGGTCGCCGGAGAAGAACAAGAACTAGTCGAGCTTGTAAATCTACTCGATGAAACATCAACCAAGTATGGCAGGGAAATGAACGCAGAAAACAAAGTAATGACTAATAACCCAGGTGGCAGAAATTCACCAATGTACATTAAAGGTCACAAATTAGAACAAGTGACTTATTCCAAATAGTTAGGATTCATTTTAAATG